TTCCCTCCTTCCTTCCTTCCTTCCTTCCTTCCTTCCTTCCTTCCTTCGTTTCTTTTTCTTTCTTTCTTCTTTCTTTCTTTCAACAGAGTCTCACTCTATTGCCCAGACTGGAGTGCAGCAGTGCAATCTTGGCTCACTGCAACCTCCACCTCCTGAGTTCAAGAGATTCTCCTGCCTCAGCCTCCCGAGTAGCTGGGATTATAGGCATCTCCACCACTTTCATCTTGCTCATTTCCCTACAGTGATCAACTCTCAGCTCCAACATGTCTTCCTCCAGGAGCCCTCCCTACCTCCCACCCCATAAGGCTGGGTTAAAGCTTGTGGTCCTCTAATTCACTTATTGCAAAGCAGGAAAATATCTGTTGAACGAATGAGTGAGGAGTTAGTTAGTGTTTGGGTCGGGTTCCCTGTGCCAGCTGGAGGGTAACTTCCTGAAACCCTCTGTAGGGTCGGGGATTTTAAAGAAGGGCTTTATTGAGTTATGATTCACATACCACACAAGTCACGCATGTGTAGTGTACAATTCAATAATTTTTGGTACAGGCAGTTTTGGGCAACTGTCACCCCTTTGTGGAACCTTGAGCCCTCCTTGTCTGACACTCCTCCCCACCAAGGCCCTGTGTTAGGTGCTTCTCACTGTCCTGTTGAAGGGGATGGGGTATGGCCTCCTCCTCCACGCTGGGAGAGAGAATTGGTAAAGAACAAGACCTAGCCAGATTGGGTGCTGTGGGTCATACTTATAATCCCAGCACCTTTGGTAGGAATTTGAGATCAGCCTGTCCAACACAGTAAGATCCCCTTTCTACAAAAAATTAAAATTAAAAAATTAGCTGAGCATGGTGGCACATGCCTGCAGTCCCAGCTAATTGGGAGGCTGAGATGGGAGGATCACTTGAGGCTTGGGGTGGTTGAGGCTACAGTGAGCCGTGGTGGCACCACTGCACTCTAGCCTGTGCAACAGAGAAAGACCCTATGTCAAAAAAAGGAAAAAAAGAAAAAAAAGAAATAAAAAGGAAGAAGAAAAGTAAAAGACAAAAGAATGAGACCTTACTATCTGCCCAGCCACAGGGCTCAGCATGTCCTGGGAGGCCCAGGGTTACGCCAACAAGGACTGGGCCCTTGCTCTGTACCAGATGTCATTCTAAGCACATATATGACAATTCATTTGACTACCACCAGCAATCCTGCAGAGTAGGCGCTCTTAGTATGATTCCCCGATGTAGCACAGGAGGCTTCTGGGAATGGGACTCCTCCTGACACTCAGCGGGTGGGCTGGGGATCAGGTCAAGAAGCAGCCTCCAATCTGCAATTTATGCAATTTCAGCCGTACCTAGAGGATTAAAACTGGAGCCTCACAGGCCAAATAGGCTCCATAGGGTACTATATTAGTCCTTTTTTCTGAGACAGAGTCTCGCTCTGTCACCCAGACTGGAGTGCAGTGGCACAATCTCGGCTCACTGCAACCTCCAGCTCCTGGTTTCAAGCGATTCTCCTGCCTCAGCCTCCTGAGTAGGTGGGACTACAGGCATCCACCACCATGCCCTGCTAATTTTTGTATTTTTAGTAGAGATGGGGTTTCACCATGTTGCCCAGGCTGGTCTCAAACTCCTGAGCTCAAGTGATCATCCTGCCTTGGCCTCCCAAAGTGCTGGAATTACAATCGTGAACCACCCCGCCAGGCCAAAAACACTATTAACTCTGGGGAGAATTCCCCTTCCTAGTCTACCTAAGCCTTAGGCAGATCACACTTAGGAGTAATGTGTGCTGCAGTTTTCCCTGCTTCCTGCTAACATTCCGGGTCTGGTCTTTGCAGCATGCGAGTTTGAAACCCTGGGGACACATGCATTGACAGGTGGGTGAAGAATGACTCAGGTACAGTTTTGTGGGGTTGGTTGGTTTTGAGATGCAGTCTTGCTCTGTCACCAGGCTGGAGTGCAGTGGCATCATCTCAGCTCACTGCAACCTCTGCCTCCTGGGTTCAAGTGATTCTCCTGTCTCAGCCTCCTTAGTAGCTGGGATTACAGTTGCATGCCACCACGCCTGGCTAATTTTTGTATTTTTAGTAGAGACGGGGTTTCACCATGTTGGCCAGGATGGTCTGAATCTCTTGACCTTGTGATCCGCCCGCCTCGGTCTCCCAAAGTGCTGGGATTACATGTATGAGCCATCGCGCCCCACCGAGGTACAATTTTTTTTTTTTTTTTTTTTCCAGCTTGTCCCAGTGCTAAGCTGATCACCCACGATCCCTGGTCCCTACTCCTGCCCTAAGTTTATGCTGATCTAGGATGTTCTTGTTTTTTAGGGAAGAAGATTCTGGACTAGGAACATGGCCAATAAGTAGTTAGGGCGCATGGAGGAGGTCGCTGCTGGGTCCTCGACCATCACACACACAGCTTATTCCCGCCTCCAGCTGCCAGGACTGCCTCTCCATACTCCATCCACAGCCAACTCCCAGCTGGAGCTTCAGGTCTGGGTTTGGCCCACCAGGTACTCCTGCTCCCTGCTCTTGCCCCATTTGTTCCAGGATAGCTTAAGACTTCTAGGCCAGGCGTGGTGGCTCCTATTTATAATCTCAGCACTTTGGGAGGCCGAGGTGGCAGGATCACTTGAGACCAGGAGTTTGAGACCAGACTGGGCAACATAGGGAGACTTCATCTCTGAAAAATAAAAGCTGGGCGTGGTAGCTCACACCTGTAATGCCAGCACTTTGGGAGGCCAAGGTGGGTGGATCACTTGAGGCCAGGAGTTTGAGACCAGCCTGGCCAACATAGCGAAACCCTGTCTCTCCTAACAATACAAAAATTAGCCAGGCGTGGTGGTGCGCGCCTGTAATCCCGGCTGCTTGGGAGGCTAAGGCAGGAGAATCGCTTGAAACCGGGAGGCGGAGTTTGCAGTGAATGGAGATGGCGCCACTGCACTCCAGCCTGGGTGACGGAGGGAGACTCCATCTCAAAAAAAAAAAAAAATCCAGAGGCAAGATTGCTCTCGAGATTAAAAAGAGAACAAAACAAAGAGAAGGAAAAAGAGAAAGACGCATGCAGAAACAGAGATGAAAAGACAGGATGTAGAGGTTAGGCAGAGAAAACAAATCAGAAAGAGACAGAGAGACAGAGATGAGACAGAACAACAGAGACAGAGAAGGAAGGCAGAGACCAAGAGAGGCAGAGACAGAGGAAACTAGGGGTCGAAGGGAAGGGAATGTCATTTAGTGACTCAAAGCACAAACTGGAGGTAGATTTGGAGAAACAGAAAGACAGGTGGACGCAAAAGATACAAAATAGGTGGGTTTTAATGGAGAATTTTATAAAAGGGAAAGGGCATGTGAAGGGGCCCCTGGGCCAGGCCCGGGACCACCGCATCAGTGGGAGCGCTGGGGGAGGCGGGGCAGTGCAGGGCGTCGCAGCTTCCAGGCGTCCGTAGGTCCCTTCTCCAGGTCCGGGCGGCCGCCCTGTGCACATACGCATAAGAGGGCTGCAGGATGAGCTGCAGGGGCCCCGTGTGGTAGGCGCGGATGGGCGGCCAGCAGGTGCCAGGGCTCAGGCCCGGGGCCGCGCGGGCGCACAGTGGTGCGGCTGGTGCGTGGGTGCGAATCCCGGGCGGCAGATACAGCGGAAGGAGCCATCCGTATTGAGGCAGCGCGCGTTGACGCATAGCGGGGAGGCAGCCTCGGCCTCATCACACTCGTTGATGTCTGCGGAGGGGGGACAAGGATCGCTGCTGAAGGCTGAGGCCCCAGAAGCTCGCCTCCTCGGCGCTTTAGGCTCTTGGAACAGAGGAGCAGATGCTGAGCCTCTCGTTTGGAGTCCAATCTGACCTCAGCCATCTGCTAGCTGTGTGAGCCCGGCCAGGTGGCTTAACCTCTCTGTGCTTGTTTCGTGTTCTGTAAGATGGGTATGGTGGCCCATACGGCACTAGGATTTTGTTAAGAAAATAATAATGGCCGGGGGCATAACGGCTCATGCCTGTAATCCCAGCACTTTGGGAGGCTGAGGCGGGCAGATCACTTGAGGCTGGAGTTCGAGACGAACCTGGCCAACATGGTGAAACCCAGTCTCTAATAAAAATATAAAAATTAGCCAGGCGTGGTGGCGGGTGCCTGTAATCCCAGCGACTTGAGAGGCTGAGGCTCGAGAATCACTTGAACCCGGGAGGCGGAGGTTGTTGTAAGCCAAGATCAGGCCACTGCACTCCAGCCTGGGAGACAGAGTGAGACTCCGTCTCCAAAAAAAGAAAATAATAATAAAAAAAAGAAAATAATACTGATGATGGTGTCAACAACAGTAAATGTTCATGCATTGTTTTAAGCACATTACGAGTATTAACTTTGTTCTAATATCCCTATTAGGTAGGTACTGTAATTCGTTTTACACATGTGCCTCCATTTGCACATGGTCTTAATGTTATTGTAAATAAGTGTTAATAATATTCACAATTCTATGAAATGGGATCTTTGACTATAGCCATTTTTCAGATGAGAAAAATTAGGTAAGGGCAGCGACCTGTCCAGCGTCACACAACAAGCTGCTGGACTGGGCCTGAGGTCTATGTGACCTCCTTGAGTTTTTTTGTTTTTTGAGACAGAGTTTTGCTGTTGTTGCCCAGGCTGGAGTGCAATGGCGTGATCTTGGCTCACCGCAACCTCTGCCTCCTGGGTTCCTCCCAAGTAGCTGGGATTACAGGTATGCACCACCACACCCGCCTAATTTTGTATTTTTAGAGACGGGGTTTCACCATATTGGCCAGGCTGGTCTCAAACACCTGACCTCTTGATCCGCCCGCCTCGGCCTCCCAAAGTGTTGGGATTACAGGCGTGAGCCACCGCACGTGGCTGAGTTCTTGATTTTAATCACTTGGCTTTACTACAATCCAAATTAGGCAGACTTGATTAATACTCCCATTTTACAGGTGGGAAGACTGAAGCTCTCCAAAGCGGTCCTGCAAATTGCCCAAGGCAGCACTGCAAGTCACACCAGCACTATTCTATCCTTCTATCCTGCTTCAAGGCCCAGTTCCAGCCCTGTGTCAAGCCCTGCCCTGCTGACACCCTGACTCCGCCTTCTTCAGTCAAGCCCCACCCAGTCGCAATTACTCCTCCCTTCTGGGCTGGTCCGTCCCCTGTAGTGAGGTTGTTTCCTGTCCCTTACCAGCAGCCCCTGCTCAGGGCTTCCACCCTCCCTGGACAAGCCTTGCCTCTCCCCACGTATGCTGGCCCCGGGCCCGCCCTCACCAACGCAGGCCATGCGAGTCATGTCCAGGCGGTAGCCATCGAAGCAGCGGCAGGTGAAGCCTTCGGGGACGCGCACGCAGCGGCCGTTGGTGCAGCCGTCCAGGATCCCGCACTCCTCTGCCTCCAGCTCCTCGTAGGGCTCAGCCAGGGAACCTGTGGGAAATGCGGGGACCCTGTGACTTGAAGTCCCTGCCTTAGTCCCTTACCCACCGCGGTGGGTGCGCGTCCTTGGCTCCATCTTTCTTGCTGTAAACTGTCCATCCCGCTCCAGGGCTGCGGCGGGCGCTGTGGGGCCAGTAAGCTTACCTCATTCTCTCGCCAGCTTTCCCTCTGCCGCTTTCTCTTTCTTTGCCGGGCTACAGACACTTCTCTGTCCCTCTCCGTGGCTCTCTCCAGTTGCACCTGTGTTCCGTCTCTCCTCCCACCTTCTCTGTTTCCCTCCCTCCCCTCTCTGTGCACACCTCACCCCTCATTTCAGTCTCATCATCCGCTGGCAGCGCTCACCAGCATAACTTCCACCTTCAGGAAGCTCCTCGGGCTCTGGGAAGGAGCGGCGGGTGTCCCGGGACCGATAGGGCCAGCGGGTGCCTGGGCCAGGTGGCGCAGGAGCCTCAGATTCGCCATAGGGGCCACCATCGTCCTCAAAGTCTGGCATGTCGAAGCGGGGTGCCCCGTAAGGAGCCTCCCGGCGGGCAAAGGGCCCAGGTGGCGGTGGGTAGGGGTCGTAGGGCAGCGCAGGTGGCGGGTACAACTCAGGCCCATACGGGAGGCCCTGGTAAGGTGGGCCTAAGTCTGGGCCGTACTCGTAGGGGAGTCCAAAGCCACCTGGTCGCGGGGGGCTATATGCAGGGGGGCGTAGCACATTGCACAGGGCCTCGAAGTCATCTGGGAACAGAAGTCAAGGCAAACAATCAGCCCCCGCTGGCCCCCACACCCACCACTCATGTACCCTCCTTGGGAAGAGGAGGCAGAGGAGTGGATGGGGAGGGTCCTGGGTGGTCGGAGCCAGCACTGAGAATCTGAAGGCTAAGACTGGGATTCCAACGTGCGGAGATCAAGGGTAATGAAGCCTGCTAAAAATCAGGGTCTGAGGCTGGAATTGGAGGGACCCATGGGAGCTAGGACTAGGGACCTGAAGAAATCAGATGAGGGTGTTCTGTGGACCAGGACGAGGGAATCCCAGGAATTGCTGCTGGGGACCCGAGGGGACAGGATGCATGGGAGAGGGTCTGAGCCACTAGGACCTGGAGGTCTGGGGACCCAGGACTGGGGTCTTTGGAACTGGGCTCCTAAGGGCTGAGGATTGAGGAACTCAGGGGTTGTAGGAACCAAGACTTGGGAATCTCTGGGGCTGTATGTTGGGGTCTTAGGCACCCGGATGTGGTGTCAAGGCAATGGGATTGGAGTTCTGTGGGGCTGTGACCACGGGGTCTGGGGCCAGGATGGTGAGGTCTGAACAACTGGTATTTCAGGTCTAAGGGCCCAGGATTTAGGGGAGGACATCTCATAGGCTGTGTCTTGTGGTTCTACAGACCAGGAGCGGAGGGTATGACAGACCAGACCTCAGGGGCCTGCGGGGCTGGTACCATGGGATCTGCTGGGTCAGGCCTTGGGATGTCTGTGGCTGAGATTTGGAAGTCTTTGGAATGTGACTCGGGGACCAAGATTTTGGGATGGGCTGCGACTTGGGGGTTGGTCTAGGGGACAGAGTTTGGGTAGAGTCTGGGGGTTCTGAGACTGGGGATCTGAGGGCCTAGATTTGAAGCCCATGGGGCAAGGCCTCTGAGTTCAGCTTAGGCCAGTACCAGCACCTGAGTCCTGGGCAGGGCAGAGGGCACAGTCCATGCCCCAGGCCTCTCCATACAGGCAGCAGCACTCTGTGTAGGTGGCCTGACGGTCCAGCCGAGGGTGACTGCACACGAGGTCAGCCCCAACTTCCTGCCAGCACACTCCCAGATTGTCATCTGCAGGTGGAGACAGCATGTGTCAGACTGGGCCTGGCACTCGGATCCTCCCAGGGGCTGGGCCCTTCCCCTGCTGAGCAGCCCTGTCACCCTCTGCCTATCAACAAATCCTTCTCATCAGCTGTGATCTAACTCCGGAAGTTCTCTGAGGTCGCTCCAGGGGTCTGGACTGAGGAACAAGGAGACTGTCATATAAGAGGAGAGGGCAGAAGAAGGGGGTCCAATGACTAGGAGGTAGGGCCTGAGAGGGGTCTACCCAAGTCTGGCTTCCGGAGAGCTGTGTGACGTCGAGGCAGTTGCTTTGCTTCTCTGAGCATTGTCTGACTATCTCAGTGTATGGGGGCTAGTGCTGAAGGCACAGGAAATGAAAGAAGAGTGGTTGGGACAGTGGGCAAAAAGAGAGGTGGCAAGATGCATAGAGAGTGTTGGAGCCTGTGATCCACTTTGGGAGGCTGAGGTGGGGGCATTGCTTGAGCCCAGGAGTTCAAGACCAGCCTGGGCAACACAGCAAAAATCCATCTTTACAAAAAAAAAAATCAAACAAAAACAAAAATTAGCCAGGCGTGGTGGTGGGCTCCTGCAGTCCCAGCTACCGCAAGGCTGAGGTGGGAGGATCATTTGGGCATGAGAGGTTGAAGCTGCAGTGAGCTGTGATCATGCCACTGTACTCCAGCTTGGGCGACAGAGCGAGATCTTGTCTCAAAAATGAAAACAAGGAGAGTGTTCAAGAGACAGAGCTTCAGGAGAAACTGTCAGAGATCTAGAGATAGGAAAATAGTCAGAAACAAAAAGGGAGAAAAAAGACCCAGAGAGAGAGAGAGAAACACATCCAAAGAGTCAAAGACTCAAAACAGGAAAACAAAGATACACAAGCAGGAGAAAGAGACCTGAAAACAAAGATCCAGAGGGTGTCAGAAATTCAGAGAAAACACCTGGAAAGAGACAGAGACCTAGAGATGCAGAGAAATAACAGGTAGCACTCATGTGGCACTCAGTAAAAAATAAATAATAATAAAAAATAAAAATAAAATTCCTCAGCCAGGCGTGGTGGCTCACGCCTGTAATCCCAGCACTTTGGGAGGCCGAGGCAGGTGGATCACCTGAGGTCAGGAGTTCGAGACCAGCCTGACCAACCTGGAGAAACTCTGTCTCTACTAAAGAAAAAAATACAAAATTAGCTGGATGTGGTGGCACATGCCTGTAATCGCAGCCACTCGGGAGGCTGAGGCAGGAGAATCGCTTGAACCCCGGAGGCGGAGGCTGCGGTGAGCTGAGATGGCGCCATTGCACTCCAGCCTGGGCAACAAGAGCGAAACTCCGTCTCAAAAAAAAAAAAAAAAAAAACTCCTCACAGCCACCCTATAAGGTAGGGGCTATTCACCCAGTGTGCAGAAAGGAAGCTGGAGTCCAAGAGGCAACATGCAAAAGTTGCCTCTAAAACTTTTGCCTTTAACCACCTAGCCAGCTCACCTCAGAGAGACAGGCACTGGGACAGAGACTGAGTTGGGGCTCAGTGGGGCGTGGCCTTTGAAGGGCGTGGCTGTCGCAAAAGTGTGGCCCGGGTGCGGGTGTGAGGCTGAGCGGAGGGAAGGAGGGCCTGGATGGCGTAGGAGGGGCTTAGCGGATTTGGGGGCGGGGTTACCGAGGCTCTGGCTCTCGTTGGAGACGCAGCGGCGCTGTGAGCCATCCAGCACCAGTGGGGGTTCGCAGGTGCAGTGGTAAGAGCCCACAGTGTTGACGCAGCGGCCGCCCTCACAGGCCGGCTCCTCATCGGCGCACTCGTCATTATCTAGGGAGAGGATGGTTAACAGGCATCCCCTTCAACTGCCCCTACCCTTTCCCATTTCTCTTCCCAGCACATTGGCAGTGTGATGGATGGAGTCTAGACTCCAGGAAAGACTCCTGCTGGGGGTGGCCACATTCCAGAGAGGAGCTGGCATGGCTAGGGGTTGGAGAGAGTTGCCAGGGGTTGGGGGAGGTGGGGCTTGTACCGATGCACTCCAGCCGCTGTGTGTGGTAGTAGTAGCCGTTGCTGCAATAGCACGAGTAGCCCGGGGCCGTGTTCACACACACGCCACTCTTGCACACCTGGTCTCGGAAGAGCTGACATTCGTCCACATCTGTGGGAAAAGCAGAGAGAGAGATGGGGGTGGGCTGGATGGGTGGAGTGTGTGAGGGCATGACCAGGGAAGACAGAGACAGAGGTGGTGATAGAGACCGAGAAGTAGAGACAGGGAAAGAAAGATGGACAGGCCAGGAGCAGTGGCTCATGCCTGTAATCCCAGCACTTTAGGAGGCCAAGACAGGCGGATCACCTGAGGTCAGGAGTTTGAGACCAGTCTGGCCAACATGGTGAAACCCTGTCTCTACCAAAAGTACAAAAAAATTAGCCAGGCATGGTGGTTCGTGTCTGTAGTTCCAGCTACACCAGAGGCTGAGGCAGGAGAATCGCTTGAACCCAGGAGACAAAGGTGGTAGTGAGCCAAGATCTCGCCATTGCTCTCCAGTCTGGGTGACAAGAGCAAAACTCTGGGGAAAAAAAGGAAAAGAAAGAACAAAAAGAAAAGAAAGAGACAGAGGACGGGTGGGGTTGGGGAGACAGATACAGAGAAACAGAAAGGGTGAGAGACAGAGCTGGGCCTGAGAGCTGAGTAGGGTGGAGGGTCAAAGGCTGGCCTCACCTCTCCGGAGGCTCGGGTCTCCGCTGGGCGCCAGGTAGCCCCGGCCGTGAGGGCACAATGACTGGTACTCAGCTACACACAGAGACAAGCCTGAGCCAGGACACCAGAGCCCCAGCCCCACCCTGCTCGTGCCCACTTGTCACAAGTCACTCTGGCCCTGTGCCTGTTAATGCCCACCACTCAGCCTCATGCCCACCCATGCCCACCTATCTGGCAGCTCGCCCTTGCCCTGACAGTACTAGTACCTCAACGCCCTATCCAAATGTGTCCCCTGTCCCAGGCCCACACCCCACCCAGTATTTCCACCCAAGCCCTCGACCCTGTGTCTCCATCAGCCCATGCCCACCTGTCTCGGTGCCTGGGCACTGCTGGATGCGGCAGCCGTTGCCCCAGCCCTCACCCACAGTACAGCAGCACTCCTGCCACGTCACATTCCGAGCCAGGATGTTGTCACATGCATCCGGGGCCGCCGTGTCAAAGTAGCACTCCCGGCGCCCGCTCCCCACAGGGCCCTGCCTAGGTGTGCTGGGTCGGCGGGGCGGGGGTGGTCTGGCCGGCAGAACGGGGCTGGCAGGTGCCTGGGGCTGTGAGCCTGGGAACGTGCCTAGGGAGACAAGCGACTTTAGCCCAGTGTGGGTTGAACCCCCAACCCCGCCACATCATAGATGGGGAAACTGAGGCCGGCATAGATGGGAAAACAGAGGGCGACAGCCATCAGTGGCAGAACCAGACTCCATACCTCTCACACTCCTCTGTCATTGTCTCTCTCCCACTGTCACCTCCTGTCATTTCTGCATCTCTTGCCTCCCCACCTCACACTTCCCTGTCACTGCAGCTAATAGCTCGGGTGGGTGGTGAGGGAACGTCCCTGGCTTCCTGGATGCCTCTCTGGGTCTCTTATCTGGTGTGTCCCAAACTGGCTGAGTCTTCATCTCAAAATCTACACTTTGTCACCTGGTGCAGTGGCTCCTGCCTGTACTCCCAGCACTTTGGGAGGCCGAGGTGGTCGGATTACCTGAGGTCAGGAGTTTGAGACCAGCCTGACCAACATGGTGAAACCCCGTCTCTACTAAAAATACAAAAAATTAGCCAGGCGTGGTGGCGGATGCCTGTAATCCCAGCTACTTGGGAGGCTGAGGCACGAGAATCACTTGAACCTGGGAGGCAGAGGTTTCAGTGAGCTGAGACCACACCAATGCATTCCAGCCTGGGCGACAGAGCGAGACTCTGTCACAAAACAAACAAACAAAAAACCTGTGCCTTGTCTTGGACACAGCTTCCCCACCCAGACATCCACAGCTTGTCCACATGGCCTCTTGGGTTTTTCTCCCACCACCCTTTCCTCCCCTTCCACAGCCCCTGCCTTGGTCCAGCCCTGTCCTCTCCTGTCCAGGCCCCTGCCCCAGCCTGTTCCCTGAGCTCCCAGCCTCCAGTATCACCCGCTGCAATCACCTTCACACGGTGGCCAGAGGGAGGTTTCAAAATCCAATTCTATCTTTCCTGCTCACAACCCTTCCATGAAGACTACACAGCCATGAAAAAGAATGAAATCATGTCCTTAGCAGCAGCATGGAGGCAGCTGGAGGCCATTATCCTAAGCAAATTAATGCAGGAACAGAAGACCAAATACCACATGTTCTCACTTATAAGTGAGAGCTAAACAGTGGGTACTCATGGATGTAAAGATGCCCACAATAGATGCTGGGGACCACTAGATGGGGGAGGGACAGAGAGAGAGGGACAAGGGTTGAAAAACTGGATGTTAGGCCCGGCATGGTGGCTCACGCCTGTAATCCCTGTACTTTGGGAGGCCGAGGTGGGTGGATGACCTGAGGTCAGGAGTTCAAGACCAGCCTGGCCAACATGATGAAACCCCATCTCTACTAAAAATACAAAAAGTTAGCCAGGCATGGTGACGGATGCCTATAACCTCAGGAGGCTGAGGTAGGAGATTGCGCCACTGCACTGCAGCCTGGGCAACAAGAGCGAAACTCCATTTCAAAAAAAGAAAAAAAAAAACAAGAAAAACTGGCTGTTGGGTACTATGCTTATGCTTACTATCTGGGTGATGGGATCATTTGTATCTCAAAGCTCAGCATCATGAAATATACCCAGGTAACAAACCTGCTTATGTATCCCCTGAATCTAAAGTAAAGGTGGAAATTATTAAAAATAAATACATAGGTTTTTTTTTTGAGATGGAGTCTCCCTCTGTCACCCAGGCTGGAGTCCACTGGCGCAATCCCACAACCTCCGCCTCCTGGATTCAAGCGATTTTCCTGCCTCAGCCTCTCAAGTAGCTGGGATTACAGGCGCGCACCACTACATCCAGCTAATTTTTGTATTTTTATTAGAGACGGGGTTTTGCCATGTTGGCCATGCTGGTCTCGAACTCCTGACCTCAGGTGATCTGCCCGCCTCGGCCTTCCAAAGAGCTGGGATTACAGGTGTGAGCCACCACGCCCAGCCTAAATATGTAACATTTAAAAATTAAAAAATATATATATACTGCAGCCTGGGCAATATGACAAAACCACGTCTCTACAAGAAATACAAAAATTAGCTGTGGTGGTGGTATATGCCTGTAGTCCCAGTTACTCAGCAGGCTGAGGTTGGAGGATTCCTTGAGCACAGGAGGTAGAGGTTGCAGTGAGCTGAGATCGTGCCACTGCACTCCAGCCTGGGTGAAAGTACGACTCTGTCTTAAAAAAAGAAAAACATTAAAAAAAAAATTTCCAAAAAAAAGCCTCGAAACCCCTTCTGCGGTACCGCAGTGCTCTCTTACTATGGTAAGTCAGTGTGATCCAGCACCTGACTCCTTTCCTGGCCCCATCTCTCCCCACCCCTTCCTTTGCTGTCTAAATCATGCCATGTTGAACCTGTTTCAGTTCCTCTTACATGCCAGATGCTCTCTGGCTTTGCCAGGCCTTTGCCCTTGCTGTGTCCTCTGCCCAGAATGCCCTCCTCACACATCGGGCCTGGCTCATTTCTACTCATCCTGCAGCTCTCAGTTCAGATGTCCTCTCCTACAGCAAGAACTCCCTGACCCTCTTCTCATGCTGGGCCAGGCGCCTCCTCCAAAACTCCCCTGGGCTTTCCCCATCACAGTCTTGTTGATTTCTCTGAGTTGTCACTATCTGGTGATATCTCTGTCTGTCCCATTGGCTTGTGAGCCCCTTGAGGACAGACAGTGATCCCTCCTGGTCACTACTACGTCCTCAGTGCCCAGAAGATGGCCTGAACACAGTGCACGCCCTGTGAACATTTGTTGAATGAAAGAATCTGGTAGAGTCGCGGCCAGGATCCAGTTCTCCTGACACAGTCTCACTACCCATGTTAACCTATGTGTCTTTTGTTGATGTTTAAAACAACAGTATTTAACTGATGGTAACTGTCCACATCAGGAATGATTAGACCACAAGATTTTCCCATGGGGCCAGCAATCAGTTAAATAGACACAACAGTCTCACCAGCAGAAGTTCGTGGGGAAACACAGCGTCCAGTCATGGGGTCAAACTCCTCCGGGCTGTTGGGGCAGACACAGAGGAAGGAGCCTTCGACGTTTTCACACAGGGCAGCTCCACATACACCCTGTAGTGTTTCACATTCATTCACATCTGTAAGCAGGAGACAACAGGGGGACACAGTGGTTATAAGCTTCTATGATTCCAAAGGTCCGAAAGTCTGAGCTTTCAAATATAATGGGTATATTTAATGGCCCAGACTCCATCATCTGTTTTTATTCTAGTGACAAGCCCTGAATTTCCCTTGGGAACCCTGTGCTCCTCTATTTTCAATCCTGTGCTTTGAGTAGAGCTATATCTACTCTGAGAGGTGGGCACAAGTTCCAGGAATGACCAAATAGATGACTGCATTTCTCTGGTTCAGAGATAGCAGTGATCATGCTGGGTCAATCAAAGCCAGGCCTGGCACTTTTGCTAGAAATATTGAAAAAGAACCTCCCTTTTTAGCTCTAGGGTTGCCAACTGGAGATGTTAGCCCAGAGGTTCTAGGGCCACCTTCATCATTATGAAAAATAATCTGCCTGAAAATCATGCAATAGAAGAAAGCAGAACTCAGAGAAGATAGAAATAGCCTTGTTAAAATTCCTGGATCCAGTTATGCCTGGAGTTCAAATATATCCCAGGTCTTTATAGTTTTAATTCCCTTTAAAGAAATAAAACCTGTTGTGTTTGCATTTGTGAAAATTTACAGAATGTATAATTAAGATTCCTGCATTTCACTGTATATAAATTGAACGTCGAATGAAAATATCTGTAGGATACAATGGCTCATGCCTGTAATCCCAGTGCTTTGGGAGGCCAAGGCACGAGGGTTGCTTAAGGCCAGGAGTTTGAGACCAGCCTGGGCAACAGAGCAAGATCTCTACAGGCCAGGCGTGGTGGCTCACGCTTGTAATCCCAGCATTTTAGGAGGCCAAGGTGGGCACATCACCTGAGGTCAGGAGTTCAAGACCAGCCTGGCCAACATGGTAAAACCCCGTCTCTACTAAATATGCAAAAAATTACTGGACGTAGTGGTGGGTGCCTGTAATCTCAGCTACTTGGGAGGCTGAGGCACGAGAATCGCTTGAACCCAGGAGGTGGAGGTTGCAGTGAGCCGAGATCATGCCATTGCACTGCAGCCTGGACAACTAGAACAAAACTCTGTCTCCAAAAAAAACTCATCTCTACAAAAATTAACAACATTAGCTGGGTATGGTTGTGTGTGCCTGTGGTCCCAGCTACTCGGAAGCTCAGTTCTGGAGGGAGGCTGGCTTGAGCCCAGGAGTTAGAGGCTGCAGTAAGCTATGATCACACAACCACACTCCAGCCTGGACAACAGAGCAAGACCCCAGCTCAAAAAAAAAAAAAAAAAAAAAGAAGAAGAAGAAAATATTGGTAAACACATACTGAATTCTGGTTAGTGATATGTATATTGAAGAATTTATGGGGAAGCAGACTGGTGCCTGCAATTTACTTTTAACTCTGTCCAAAAAATTAGATGGATTAATGGATAGATATGTGAGGAAGCAAGTATAATAAAATAATATAATCTAGATCATGAGTAGGCAGGTGTTCATTCTATGATTCTCTCAATTTGCTTTGTGTTTAGAAATTTTCCTCATAAAATGTTAGGAAAAATTAACGTTTATGAACACTTTAGTGCTTTATACATTTATACTTTATAAATTTTTATTTTTATTTATTTTTAGTTTTAGTTTTTATTTTTTGAGACGGAGTTTCGCTCTTGCTGCTCAGGCTGGAGTGCAATGGTGCGATCTCAGCTCACTGCAACCTCCGCCTCCCAGGTTCAAGCAATTCTCCTGTCTCAGCCTCCTGAGTAGCTGGGATTACAGGCATGCACCACTACGCCCGGCTAATTTTGTATTTCTAGTAGAGATGGGATTTCTCCATGTTGAGACTGGTCTCGAACTCCTGACCTCAGGTGACCTGCCCACCTTGGCCTCCCAAAGTGCTAGGATTACAGGTGTGAGCCACCGCGCCTGGCCTACTTACACATTTTTAAAAGTACACACATAAAAATAAAACCTGAATAGGTCAGGTTTCTTTCAGCAGCCACTACAACAGTTCTGAGAAGATTTTTTTTTTTTTTTTTTTGAGACAGGGTCTCACTCTGTCACCCAGGCTGGAGTGCAGTGGCGTGATCTAGCCTCACTGCAACCTCCATCCCTTGGGTTCAGGCCATTCTTGTGCCTCAGCTTCCTGAGTAGCTGGGATTACAGGCATGCGCCACCAGACCCTGCTAAATTTTGTATTTTTAGTAGAGATGGTATTTCACCATGTTCACCAGGCTGGTTTCAAACTCCTGACCTCAAGTGATCTGCTCGCCTCAGCCTCCCAAAGTGCTGGGATTACAGGCATGAGCCACCGTTCTTGGCATGAAGATGATCTTATATTCCAAAGTCTAAATTCCACAACCCGAAAGTTCCTATTTGTTCAGATACATGGGGAGGGACAGGGCCTGACCAACCTCCCCCACCCGCTTTGGTCCCATCCACCCCCTGAAGTCCCATACCCACGCAGTGACGCCCATCCCGCGCCCCCTCGTAACCCTGGTCACAGAGGCACTGGAAGGAGCCGGGCAGGTTCTGGCACACGGCGTGGGCACCACAGAAGGACCGGTTCCGGCATTCGTCCACATCTGCAACCACCAGACAGTCAGGCCATTTCTGGACCTTCTACCATCTCCACATCTCACCCGATGCCCGACGGACACCCACCCTGGCATCCGCCCCCTGGTGTGGGCTGATAGCCAGGGTCACAGGCCGGTGTGCAGCGGTAGGAGCCAGGGGTGTTCTCACAACGCTGGGCTCCACAAATCTCGGGACCATATTCTTGGCACTCATCCACATCTGCAGAGTGTGGAGGAGATGAAAGGGGAGTCAAAGGCCTGAATTCATAAGTTCTAACACCACTTCCAGTCCCCAAGACTAAGAAGTCTTTAGAAGGCCGGGTGCGGTGGCTCAAGCCTGTAATCCCAGCACTTTGGGAGGCTGGAGGCTGAGACGGGCGGATCACAAGGTCAGGACATCGAGACCATCCTGGCTAACACAGTGAAACCCCGTCTCTACAAAAATACAAAAAACTAGCCGGGCGAGGTGGCGGGCGCCTGTAGTCCCGGCTACTCAGGAGGCTGAGGCAGGAGAATGGCATAAACCCAGGAGGCGGAGCTTGCAGTGAGCCGAGATAGAGCCACTGCACTCCAGCCTGGGCGACAGAGCGAGACTCTGTCTCAAAAAAAAAAAGTCTTTAGAAATCTGGTATTCTAGGAGTCTGAGCTTCTAAAGATCAACAATGTTGAAAATGTTGTTTTTTCTTTGAGACGGAATCTCGCTCTGTCACTCAGGCTGGAGTGCAGTGGCTGAAGTTCGGCTCACTGCAACCTTTGCCTCCTGGGTTCAAGCAATTCTGCCTCAGCTTCTGGAGCAGCTGGGACTACAGGTGTGCACCATCATGCCCGGCTAGTTTTTGTAGTTTTAGTAGAGATGAGATTTCACCACGTTGGCCGGGCTGGTCTCAAACTCTTGACCTCAAGTGATCTGTCTACCTCAGCCTCCCAAAGTCCTGGGATTACAGGTATGAGCCACCACGGCCAGTCACTTTTGTATTTTTTTTTTTTTTTAGTAGAGATGGGGTTTCATCATATTGGCCAGGCTGGTCTTGAACTCCTGACCTCAGGCGATTTACCTGCCTCAGCCTCCCAAAGTGCTGGGATTATAGGCATGAGCCACCATACCCAGGCATTTTTTTTTTTAAATGGGGGTCTTGCTCTGTTGCCCAGGCTGGAGTGCAGTGGCAGGATCATGGCTCACCGGAGCTTCAACCTCCTGGGTTCAGGCAGTTCTCCCACCTCAGCCTCCCAAGTAGCTGGGATTACAAGCATGCGCCACCACACCTAGCATAGTTGATAACTCTCAAATCCTCACTGCCGTCTCTCAAAGCATGGTCCCACCTCAGGGCCTTTGTACAGGCTCTTCCCTCTGCCAGGAACAGTCTCCCCTCAGCTCTCTGCATGGCTGCTTCCCCCACTTCCCTCTGGTGTCGAGGTCAAGCCCTCCTAGCACTCCTCCCTCCACTGCTCTGTCATCTCTGTCCTGCTTTGTTTTCCTTCCTAAACCTGACCTTATACGTATGTATTTATTGGCATGCCGACTGTGGCCTCCCTAGAATACAAACTCTACAACAGCAGGGATTTGTTCTTTGCTACATCTCCAGTGGCAGAACAGTGCCCAACACATAGTAAGGTGTCCCCTAGTTTTTTGTTGTATAAATCTTTTTTTTTTTTTTTTGAGAAGGAGTCTCACTCTGTCGCCCAGGCTGGAGTGCAGTGGTACGATCTTGGTTCAACTGCCACCTCCGCCTCCCGGGTTCAAGCGATTCTCTGCCTCAGCCTCCTGAGTAGCTGGGACTACAGGCGCATGCCACCATGCCCAGCTAATTTTTGTATTTTTAGTAGAGACAGGGTTTCACCATGTTGGCCAGGCTAGTCTCGATCTCTTGACCTCGTGATCCACCCTCCTGGGCCTCCCAAAGTGCTGGGATTACAGGCATGAGCCACAGCGCCTGGCCTGTTGTATAGGTCTTGAGTTTATTTACATATTTATTACCCCACAATGATAACTCCAGGAAGGCAGGGGTTTTTATATGACTTATTTCCTGTTGCACTTACTTTCTTTTCCGGACACTGGCACAGAGTAGGTGCTTAATGAATTCTTGTGGAATTAACGAATACGATCTTAGGAAGCTAGACTTCCGTGAATCAGAGGTCTAGCAGAGTCAACGGCAGCCCACAGATGTTTTGTTTCAAGTGTGCCACAAGATGCGGACTCACACATCATCACCTCCCCACAAAAAAAAATTTAAACTATATGGAAGATTAGCCCCACCCTCCTGCCTCGCTGGAGTCTGACCCGGGAGGGGTGAAATTGCGGGGCGGGTGGGAAGACCTGGAAGGTAAGAGAAGGCAAGGGGCGGGTCTGTGGGCGGAGCAGAGATAGGAAGGAGGGCCTATGTGTTCCGAGAGACTGAAGCCATCTGAGCGAATGGAAAGGCCAGTGCAGAGAGGCCATGGAAGGGCAGAGCTTAAACGGGCGGAGGCCAACGCTAGGAGAATTTCACCTTGGGAATTTCTCATTGGGCAAGGATGAGGCCTAGGGTCGCCGGGATTGGGCCTCTTTGGAGGGAAGGCTGGAAGTAGGACTGGTGGAGGACAGGGAAAGGGCGCGTCCAAACTTCTGTTAGGAAGAGAAGGGGCCTGAAGAGGGGGTTTTAATCCAGAGGCCGACTGGAAGGGGCGGGGCCTAACAGTTTTGGGGAGGTGTCTTACTGGGGGCATAGCCTAAAATGTGAACTGGGCTTCAACTGCAGAGGCGGAATGGACTGCGGCTGGAAGGGAGGCTTCGCCGTGGTACTGACACAAGAAAATACATGGACACAGTGACTGCTTTCCACTACAGAGATACTGTGCTTTCCCTCCCCCTAAGTCTGGGAAGTAGGGCGCCCCTCCTCAGTCCCCAAGGGAGCAGCCTCCAGCACCCCGTTGCGAGCGCTAGCGGAGGTGGAGGGGGCAGGCTTACCGTCACAGGTGCCCTCGGGGCCCGCATGGTACCCAGGATCGCAGTCCCGGACACAGCGGTAGGAGCCGGGGGAGTTCTCACAGCGCTGCGACCCGCACAGGGCCGGGCCCCGCTCGCGACATTCGTCCACGTCTGAGGAGGGAGGTCGGGTGGTCGGATGTGGGAAGCAGGGAGGCAAGATGGGGGAGACAAGGAGGGAAGAGGAGAGTCAGAAAAGGGAAGCCAGGGAAGCAGAGAGGGCAGGGGAAGATTTGGGTAGAGGAGAGACGGGGAGGCTAGGAGAGGAGGAGGGGGAAGGAGGTAAGGGGAGGGGAGAAGCGGAGGAGGAAAGACAGAGGTGGGAGGCCAATGCGCGAGTCCGGGAGTCGGAGGGAGGAGGGATCAGGCCGGGGCGGGGCCTCTCACCGAGGCAGGAAGCGAGGTCCGGGCCGGCGCGGTGTCCCGGAGGACAGATGCACTCGAAGGAGCCGTCGGTGTTGGTACAGATGCCGCTCTGGCAAAGGTCCTCCTCGCTGCACTCGTCCACGTCTGCGGGACAGGGCGTCCAAAAGCCCGGCCCACCTCCCCCTCCGCCTAACATTCCAGTCCACACCCCTCCACCGCTCCTCGGCGCTCCTAGGCCTTTCACGCCTTCCCCAACCTGCCTCAGGCTCCTTCCCTCCCTGCAAGCACCAGCCCCCGACGGGTTTAGAACAGCTTCTTTCCAATCATTGTCCAATTACCCAGACTCCGCCCTTTCCTCTCCATACCCCTCCCCGCCCACTGCCTCGAGACTCCCACCAGCTGCCCCCGATCGTGCTGGATGATCCCGGCCAAAAACTCGTTTTCCCCTTTTCGCCCTCTTCTCCCCGTCCCGCCTTTTCCTGCCCTAAGCCCACCCTTTCCGGAGCCAGGACCAGCCTGGGTACGAACCGAGGCAAGAGGCTCCGCGGGGTCCGGGTCGGTAGCCGGGGGCACAAGTACAGGCAAAGGAGCCGTCAGTGTTGAGGCACTCGCCGTGAGGGAAGCAGAAATCGCCCTCCAGGCACTCGTTCACGTCTAAGGTCCGCGGGAGTTTGGGCGGAGTCACAGGACCCGGCCTCCCAGACACAAGCCCCGCCCACACCGCAGTAACCCCGCCTCCACCAATGCCAGGTTTCTGAGCAGCTCCCACAGGGAGCCTTGGTCCCGCCTCCACCTTTCCAGCCGGCTTTGGCCTGAAACTCAGGCCCTACTCCCAGGCTCTCTGGCGGGTCCCTATGCTGCTCACCTGCGCAGGGCCCGGGCCGACCCGACGGCGCCCGGTAGCCTGGCGCGCAGCTGCAGCGGAAGGAGCCTTCGGTGTTAGTGCAGTGGCCGTGGGGACCACAGGGAGGGGCACCCGAACTGCATTCGTCCACATCTGTGGGGGGTGGGGGTGTTCAGAAAGGGTCCAGACGAATCCCCTTGGAGTAGGGGGTCTGGGGGAGGTGGTGGGAAGTGTCATGAGTTGGAGGCCAGGGGAGGGCTCTATGGCAGAAGTGGGTAGGGCTGACCAAGGTTCCCGGGTTTCGGGGACCATGGTTGCGAGTCCTGTGTGTCTAGGTTTCTAGGAACTACCTGTGCCAGGATTTTGGAGTCAGGAGAGGGGACTCTGGCTTAGACAAGGATCAGAAATGAACTAGGGCAAGGGACCAGTCAAGTATTATAAACCAGGACCACTGGATGGGATTCGGGTGAGCCATGGGTCGGAGTTAGTGACTGGAATCTGAGTCCAGTTAGCATCAGAAGTTACAGTCAGGGTCCAGAATTCTGCCTCAAGTCAGGGGCCAGGGTCAGGGATTATGAACCCAACCAGGTTCCAGAGAAGGGATTCTGAGAAGAGGCAGGGGCTGTGAAAGAGACAGGACCAAGAGTCACACAGTCAAGGTTATGGTCAGTGCTATGGTTAGTGGTTATGATTAGGGTCAAATGTCACAGTCAAATTCAGGAGTTACAGGTCACATTCAGGGCCAGAGTCATGAGGGTCACAATTGCTATCAGGGTATGGGCAGGGACTATCATCAAGGGTGATGGTTCGGGTCAAATGTCACTGTCAAGTTGGGTCTTAGGAGTCACATTCAGGGTCAAGAGTTGTGGTCCAGGTCAGGGTCAGGAGTCACAGGCTCTGGGGACTGAGGGACTGAGGTCCAGGTCAGGAGGTTATGGGCCAGGTCATAGTTATGATCTGGGACAAGGGTCAGGGGTCATGGTGCAGGCCCAAGGTCACAGCCAGGGCCTGGTCTCACCAGTGCATCTGCCACGGTGCAGGTGGTGGCCAGGAGGACAGGGCCTGCACTGGAAGGAGCCAGGTGAGTTCACACACTCCTGCCCAGGGCATGCCAGGTGGTTCTCACACTCATCCACATCTAGGGGGCAGGGGAGAGGGTGGCCTTGAAGAAGTGGCCCAATGCCCCCCTCACCCATCCACACTCCTCCCCCCCTCCCCGGCCTCACCCTCGCACTCGGAGCCAGCAGCGTTGGGTTGGAAGCCCGTGGGGCAGACACACTGGAAGCTGCCTTCTGTGTTCTCACACCGGCCGTAGGTGCAGGGTGGGGGGCTTCGGGCACACTCGTCCACATCTGGAGCAGAGGGGACCAATCAGGCTGAGGAAAGGGCCTGAATCCATCCCCATGGCCATCACCACCCACCCCAGCATTCCAGTCTTGAGCCAGCCTCCTAGACTTGCCTCAGGCTGCTCCCTCTTCCCAGGAAGACAGATGCCTTCCTCCCTTCTTCGTGTCCCCATTCAATGGTCTCTCCAGCTACTAGGGTGGGGCTAAGGCACCAACTCCATGTTGCCTGCCCTGCCTCAGGTGACCTCCTCCTCAGGGTTCCCATAAGCACAAGAGTATCTTTCAAAAAGGGAGGAGGGGTGGGGAGCACTATCTTATTTTGTTGAAAGGAGGGAAGACTCTGGAGTGAGGTCCCCATCCCTCAGCCCCTGTTCTCCATCCCTCAGCCCCTGTTCTCCATCCCTGAGCCCCATCACTCTGCCTCTCTGCCCCTCAATCTCTCTCCAGTCCCCACAGCAAACAGTGATGGAGTGGGGCTGGGCTCAGCACCCTCACCTTGGCAGGGGGCCCCGGGCCCTCGGGAGCGGAAGCCAGCAGGGCAGGCACAGTGAAAGGAGCCTGCCGTGTTGTCACAGCGGCCAGGCCCGCAGGGCGGCGGCTCCTGGGCACACTCATCCACATCCTCTTCACACGCCGAGCCCCGGAAGCCAGCCGGGCAAACACAGCGGAAAGAGCCGGGCAGGTTCTCGCAGGCCCCTCGGCCACACAGGCCTGGGCTCTGGGTGCATTCATCCACATCTGCACAGGGCAGGGGACCCGGGGTCACTTGCTCCCCTCTGCCTCCCTGACCTCTGTCACTTTGGCTTTCCACCCTCCATCATTCTATCCCCCGACCCCATCACTATTCCTCCTTGTAACCATCATCTGACTCTGTATCCTCCACCAATCCCTCCTAAGCTGCCTAGATGGCTCTGTCTCTGTAGTCCCCATGAGAAGGCCTCCTTCTCCTCTGTCCTCTATAACTCTGCTCCCCTTACCTGATTACGGACATCTCCATCCCTCCTCACTCTGCTTCCCCATCTTCCATGACTCAGCCTTTCTGTTTCCCATCACTTGGACTCTCCATCCCAGGTCTCTCTACTGCCATTAGGCCACACGTCTGCTCCAGAGCCTGGCCTCTGTCTCCCATCAGTCAGCTCGCTTTGCCCTGTTGTTCAGTCTCTCCGGCCCTCATCATCGCGCTCTACCCAACCCCTCACACCCATTCCCAGCTGCCCCTCCCAGGCCCTCACCCTGGCAGCTGGCTCCGTGTGGTGCAGCCTGGTACCCGGCGGGGCACACGCACAGGAAGCTGCCTGGCGTGTTTTCGCAGCGCCCGAGGTCACACGGCGGCGGCACGCGGTGGCACTCGTCCACGTCTGTGGGCACAGACCAGGCGGCTGGGACTGGGGCAGACAGTCCCGGGAGAAGCGACGCAGAGAGGCGGGGGTAGGGGGAAGCGGGAGCGGGGCCAAGCTTGGGCCAGAGCCAGGCTAGGGACCGGCCAGGACAGGCGGAGAAGTGCACAGTGAGAGGGGCAATTGGAGAGGGTAGGGTTTGGTAGGGCAAGGGCAGAAAGGAGAGCTTTGGGGACTGAGCAAAGGGAAGGTGGGGTCGGGGCTAGAGAAGAAAGGATCAGTTTGGGGCTGGGGCTCTGGTGTGGCAGGGTTGGAATCAGGGGTCGTGGTCAGGAGATTGGTTGCCGCAGTTGCAGGACAGTGGCGGGGCCTGGGGGAGGGAGTTAGTCTGGGACGGGGAGAGGCGTGGCCAATAAGGGCGGGGCCTGGGCGTGGGGGCAGAGCAATACGAGCGGCGACCAGGCCCCAGTAGAAACTGGCAGTTTGGGAGCTAGGTAGGGGTGGGGTCAAAGGGAGGGGGGAGCTGGGTGGAGGCGGGGCAGGGAAGGGCGGGGCCAAGGACCAGGGAACAGCGGTCCTGGGGCGGCACCAGACAGGGGAAGCGTGGGAGGGGTGGAGAGGCTCTGGAGTGAGAGCAGGAGCGAGACCCTGGGGTGGGCCTGGAGCCGGGTGGGGCAAATTTCTCACCCAGGCATTCCGTAGCCCGTGGGCCGGTTCGGAAGCCCGGGCCGCATACGCAGCGGAAGCTGCCTGGTGAGTTCTCGCAGCGCCCGGGAGCACAGGGCGGGGGCACGCGGCGACATTCGTCCACATCTGAGGACACGGAGGGGACTGGTGACAAGGTGACCGGGCAAAGCCCCCCGCCCCGCCTCCTTCCACCCCCTCCGCCTTGCTCACCAATGCATCGGGTGCCCTGGGGGCTGAGCCGGAAGCCAGAGTCGCAAGCACAGGTGTAACCGCTGGGCCGGGAAATGCAGCGTCCTGGGCCGCAGACCTGGGGGTTGCGCTGACACATGCCGGAGGAAGGACCTGGGGGGTCCAGTCAGCCAGGGTTCCCCCACCTCTGAATCCTCCGTTCCTTTCCTCCCAGTACAACCCCCACCCCCGGAGACATCCATAAAACACCTTCATGGATGTCTCCTCCCCAAGCAAGCCCAGTCTTCTGATCTCCATTTTTTTTTATCCTGGAACATTCTCATCAGATCCTTGGCCGAATCCCCTCATAATGCCACCCCAAGGTCACTGGCTTTGAATAGTTTGCCCTCCAACCCTCTGCCTGAGATACATTCTTAGTGCCCTACCTGAGAAATAATTATCTACCGTAAGTATCTGAGCACTTACTAGGTGTCAGACACTTCAGAGACATCTCAACAATAATCCCCATTTTACCGATGAGAAAACTGAGTCTCAGAGGTTAAGTGACTTGCTCAATTGACACAGAAGAGCACAACTCCGACTCCAGCTCCTGATCTACCACCCAACCCTTCAAATGCTTCTCTCTGCCCATAACATTCCTATTTGCTGTATCCTGAAATCTTCACCTTGGAGTCTCCTTACCCCAGAATCCCACCTGTAATACCCCCATCAGTGCCCTCAATTCTTTTTTTTTTTTTGAAACGGAGTGTTGCTCTTGTCGCTCAGGCTGGAGTACAATGGCACAATCTCAGCTCACTGCTACCTCTGCCTCCTGGGTTCAAGCGATTCTCCTGCCTCAGCCTCCCTAGTAACTGGGATACAGGCATCTGCCATCACACCAGCTAATTTTTGTAGTTTTAGTAGAGACGAGGTTTCGCCATGTTGGCCAGGCTGGTCTTGAACTCCTGACCTGATGATCCACCCTCCTCAGCCTCCCAAAGTGCTGGGATTACAGGCGTGAGCCACCACTCCCGGCCCAATGCCCTCAATTCTTTCTATCAAACCTGAATCAGGGATCTCAGGACCAGTCCAGGCAGGGATGCTGGGCAAGGGAAGCTCAGGGCCGGGCCGGGGATCAGGCCGGGGGTCAGGCCGGGGCTCCGGGCGATGGGTGGGCAGAAAGCCTGATGAAGAAGGGGTATCAACGAGTGGAGCCCAAATCCTCTCTTGCCTCCTTTCACTATGGGGCTTGGGCAGCCCCTTGAAGATGGCACCCACTTCTGCCAGAGCCAGCTCACCTGCAGATGGCCGAGAGGTGGCTGGCAGGGTACGAGGCTGGCTGAGTGACACTCGGGGTGGCTCCTGGCCCAGGGGTCTGGTGTTGTAGCGGAGGTCGGAGGCCGAGTAGTGGTAGCCAGGGCCAGCAGGGCAGATCTCCCGGAAACCCTCTGGGAATAGGAAAGAGAGAGAGACACGGAGAGGACAAGAGAGCAGGAGGAAAGCGATGGCAAGCCCACACCCTGGGCTTGGCTGGGGGCAGGGCTTGGCGGGACAGTGTCAGAGTTTTGAGTTGGAGGCTGGGATGGGGTGGTGTCCTGGCCAAAGAGTAGAATGTCTCAGAGGCTAAAGGTGGGACCAAGGGCGTTTTCCCCCATTTGGGATGGTGGTAGGGACAGAGTTGAGGGTAGGGTCTGGTTGGGTCTACAGGGACAGACTTGGAGGCTAGGAAATAGCTCCCTTGTGGGATTTAGTTTTAAGCGGAAGATAGAATGCCAGGGAGGTGTCTCAGGGAGAGGCATGCCTGGGGTGGGGCTAAGCTGAAGGCAGTGTCTCAGAAGCTAAGGACTTGGTTAAAGCTCAGGGACAGGATGAGACTGGGCGTTGACGCTCAGGAGACAAAACCTAACTTGGGGGCTCCGGGATAGGTGTGGCTACGGATGGAGGGGTGGGTGTGGCTACGGATGGAGGTGGAGCCGTGGATGAGGTCCAGTCTGAGGCCCACGGGTCGCAGAGGCTGGGGCGTGGCCAAGGCTGGAGCCCAGCCAGGTTAGGGGCGGTGAGACTCAGGGTTGGAGGGCGGAGCGTAGAAGGAGCGCCACATGTGTTGCGTGTAGGGTTAGGCACGGCCGCAGGGGCTCACCTGAGCCGAAGGGTGGGCAGAGCTGGCAGCCTCGGCCCCAGGCCTTGCCCACGCGGCTGCAGCAGCAGATCTGTTTAGTGATGTTCCGCAGAATGGGCAGCGAACAGCCGCCGTCGCGGAGCACGCGGAAGCAGGGCCCTTTGGCCTCTGAGATCACGTGTTGGGCTGCGAGGAGCAGGGAGGAAATTCTTCAGGGCGGGGCTGGGAATGCTGCGGCACTGAGGGATTTGGGAGAGAGGGGAATGGTTCCGGGGTTGGGGGTGGGGGCTGCTGGGTGCGAGGGGCATTTGGGAGAGGTCTGAAGGACAGCAGTGGGCTCTGGAGGTCTGAGAAGGGCTTGGAGCCTATGAGGTGTCAGTGGTGAATGAGACTTTGAGAAGGATCTCAAGATCTGAAGAAAGTCGAGTCTCGAGGGGAAGGAGAGGATTTGAGGGTCTGAGAAGGATTCCAGAAAGTCTGGGAGAGCTGGGCGCGGTGGCTTACGCCTGTAATCCCAGCACTTTGGGAGGCTGAGTTGGGCAGATCCCTTAAAGTCAGGGGTTTGAGGCCAGTCTGGCCAACATGGTGAAACCTTGTCTCTACCAAAAATACAAAAAAAAAAAAAAAAAAAAAGCCAGGCATGGTGGTGCCCGCCTGTAATTCTAGCTGCTCGGGAGGCCGAGGCAGGAGAATCACTTGAACCCGGGAGGCAGAGGTTGCAGTGAGCCGAGATCGCGCCACTGCACTCCAACCTGGGTGACAGAGCGAGACTCCATCTCAAAAAAAAAAAAAAAAAAAAAAAAAAAAGTCTGGGAGTCTGGAGGGATCTGGATCCAAAAGACTTGAAAGATCTAAAGGTGGTCCAGGGATGCTGAGGCTGTATGAGAATCTGAGAAGTTCTGAGGGGGCTCTAAGGCTGACTGAGAGGAACTCGGAACTCTGGGAGGATCTGTGGGGGTCCGAGGGAATTAAAAGCCCCAGTATGCTCTGGGACGTGGTCTGAGGGCAGGGAGGGCATGGGACTCAGCCTCAACTCCCTGCTGGTGGCTCACAGATGCAGCTGCTGCGGGACGAGTCGAGCAGAAAGCCGTCGGGGCACACGCACGTGTACCCGCCGCGCGTGTTTGCACACTCCCCGTGCTGGCAGCGCCCGCCAGTCGCGCACTCATCCACATCTGCCAGGGTTGGGGAGGTCACTGTGGAGTCAGCAACTTGATCCCTGCATATCCCGCCCCCAGAACCAAGCCCCTCTCACTCCTGCCCCATCGCACCTTCGCAGGACCCATTAACTCTTTCAAAGCCGGTTGGACAAGGTCCATCTGGGGCGCCCACTCTTCCGGAGTTCCCTGTGGCGAGAGGAGAGGGGTGGGCCAGGGACAGGTGGACTGAGCGAGAATGGAGTGGGCAGAGACGAAGACTGGGTGGAAGGGACTAAAAGATGTTGGCTGTAGTTGAGTGCAGGGTCAGCCTTAGGTTGGCTGACCTGGAGACTCTCAAAGACATGGGAGGTGCCATGGCACAAAAGCAGGGTGAGAATAGAGTGGCCAAAGTCAGAAAATGGGGTGGGTGGTCCCAGAGTGGTATGAAAAGCTCAGGAATGGAAGTCGCCTCCACAGTGGGGTAGGCGTGGCTACAATTTGTGAACTGGGTTTATCTAGGGCAGAGTAGGAGCGGTGAGGTTCTCACCCCTCCCCAGCTCCGAGCACCTCAGGGACGTCCTGGGACTTACCCAGGCGCTCGGAGCACAGCTGACAGTCGTGAACGCCCCAGGCCAAGCCGGCCCCTCGGCAGCAGACCTCCTGCGTCCGGAGCCCGGGCAGCGGGGACGCGCACTGCGGGGAAGTGTTGGGTGAGCGCGCCCTCGCGCGGAGGCACGCTCCGGGCCCCTCCCCACCGGCCTCCTCTCACTTCGCCTCCGCGCAGCTCCCGAAAGCAGTAACCGAAGCCCGAGGCGTCCGAGTAGCCGTCTTCCCGCGGCGCGCTCTGTGCCAACACCGTGTAGGGCGCTGCCGCCTCCGCCCGCGCCGCCGCTTCCGCCCGCGCCACCGCCTCGGCGTCCGCCTCCTCCCAAGGGCCAGACACACGCTCCACCTGGTGCACCACCACCGACGCCTCCTGCGGGTGCTCCACGTGGACGCTCACCATAGATGCCACGCCTAGGGGAGGCACGGCCGGGCAAAGGGATTTCTACACGGGTTTTTACGGGCTGGGGCTAGACAAGCGGGGGAGGGCGAGTTGGGCAAAGGTGTTCTGGAAGGCGGGAAAGTTGAGGGTCAGGGGCACGGTGAAATGCTTGACAGAGGGGTCGGAGGGACTCTGGCCACACTTTCCTCACCGTGCTCGTCGTCGCGGTGGTTGGCCAGTGGCATAGTGTACACGGAGCGGGTGAGTCCTGGTATAGCCGGGGCCGGAGGCCGGGCGCCCGAGGAGTGCAACTGGCAGAACTTGCCAGCGAAGTCCGGGGGACAGAGGCAGCGGTCAGGCTTCACGCATACACCGCCATTGTGACAGATTAAGGGACACAGGACTGGGAGAAGAACAAAGACACTCAGGGGCGCCACCATTCCTGGCATGTTCCCCTGGGGCCAGCGAAGTTCCTATTCCCTCAAGGTATCATTCATTTCTAAGTCGATCCGCCCTCAGCTGTCATGTGGCCCCGCCCCAGTTCTGGCATTAGCATTGGCCCAGTCCAGTAGTTCAGCCATCAGAGGTACAGCACCACCCACTAAGTCCGCAGGATCTCGCACTATTGCCCAGGCTGGAATGCAGTGCCGTGATCAAGGCTCTGCAGCCTCGACCTCCTAAGCTGAAGTGATCCTCCCACCTCAGCCTCCTAAGTAGCTGAGACGACAGGCGTGCACTACATCGGGTCATGTTTTTTAAAAAATTTTGTAGAGGCGGGGTCTCACTATGTTGGCCAGGCTGGTCTTGGACTCCTGGGCTCAGGCAATCCTCCTGCCTCAGCCTCCCAAAGTGCTGGGATTACAGGCGTGAGGCCGGCCAGCCCTCAGACTGTTTATTAACTTTCATGTCAACCTTTCTGATCCCACTTTCTGGTTGAGTCCACGGGGTTCCAGACCAACCCAGACGGCGCTGACCCCATCCGATGCTGATCCCTTCCATTGACCTAAACCACATTTTAACCACTCCCTGGCATAACTCCCCGCCCAACTCTGTCTCCTTCGCATTCTATGCCCGCCCACACTCCCTCTGCTAGGTCCACGAAGTCCTATCCCAGCCCCCTGGCTGTGCCCCCTTTCTAGCCCCTCTCACATTACCTTCTACCCGCGGGATTCTAAGCCCTGCCTATCCAGGAGCTTAACCTGCCGCCTCTAGCCCCTCCCATCTCCCTTTTCCGCACTCTGATTCGCCCGGCTCACTAGTTCACGCCCCTCCCACCCCACCTCCAGGCCGTCCGGGTGCACTAGTTCCGCCCACCGCGCTTTGTCTCCGCCCAACTTCTTTCTGGCTGGGGCCTTAGAGCTCTAGCTCTGCCTTACCGCCTCCAGTAGCACCCGGGCGGGGCCAAGAGCGGGAACGCGCCTCCACTCCCCTCTGCGCGCCCTCGCTGGGCCCCAGGCCACCTCTGGGCGGGGCACTGCCAGCTGTGCGGCGGGGTAAACAAAGAGAGAGGTGCGGCGGGGGCAGGGCGGAGGCTCCGCATTCCGGACCCTTGGGGAGCCCCGGGACCTTTGAGCCAAAGGAGGCCGGACTGTCCTGCGAGGGCACCCCCTCCCTCTCTCTCCCGGGGCTGCAGAGAACAGCTGGAGACAGCTGTGCGGAGGGGAGGGAGGAGGCAGACGGCCGGGGGAGGCGCGTGTGGGATTCTGAGCCACAACTGTAGAGAGGAAAGGGCACGGAGAGCCACCTCCATTTAGAAGGATAAAGGGACTGGAGTCCTGGGAGGAGATCGACTAAAGGGCAGCCCTCTCGAGTTCAAAGTCAGCTGGAGGTTTCTGGGAGGGAGGAACCTAGCTCAGAGGAAACTGAGGTGCCCTTTCAGCAGGAGTTCTTTTGTGGACAGTTACCTAGAAAACAGGACTTTAGTGCCGCCTAGTAGACAACCAGTTTGAGGGTGCTGAAAGCAGGGTTTAGATAGTGAAGTGGAATTCCTGGAAGTCATCAGCACTTAAGAGGCTCAATTGGCCGAGACCCTACGTGGAATCCCCTCCCCTCCCAGCTAAGGATTAGGTGCCAAAGGCTTTTTATTAATGGCTGCCTGTGAGGAGCACAGTGTCTGGAGTCCTCTTGGGAGAATCCACTTATCAAGACCAACCCTGGGGTTCTCTGAAGATAAATGGGATCAAAAGTTCCTGGGGAAGGGGGTGAGCTAGAAGAGCAGGACTTCTGGACAATATGACAGAGTTCTCTAGGGAAAGGCACAGTTTGGGAGGTGGGAGGGAAGAATGAGAGGGAACTTCACTGGAGGAGTGGTCTCTAAAGTCTGTTGCCAGGGGTGGAGAGGGGGCCTAGGGCCTAGTAGCAAAAATTCTGGGCTCCCCTAGGTAAGAGTGTGGGACCACGACTCCAGGGTGGTCTAATAGGGGCTTTTAATTGAGTAGTGGGGCCTAGAAGAGGCTTCACTAGGAATCAAAATTGCAAAATGGGAAGAAGGGTCTCTGATGGAGGTGGTGGGAAACCAGCCAGGTCGGAGGGCATTTCCCAGACTCCAGAGGCATTTATCTGCCTTCTCTTGGCCTGAGTGCAGGCCCCCAGGCCAGCTCCCTGGGGGTGCCTACACCCAGGGTGGGCCGCTAGATGGGCACAACCAATGTCATGCCCCACAGCCCTGGCAGAGCGGGGAGTTGAGGACATAGGGGTCCCTCTGAGGTCAGCCTCCACCTCACATGCCACTCCTTGCACCCCCAGGGGCTTGGCACCCGCCTGGGCATGGCGCCTGGCACAGGCACATTGGGGCCGGGCCGGGAAAGAGTGAAAGAAAGAGGGAGGAAGGGGAGGAGAGAGGGAGTGGCAGCGGGCGGGGGCTCAGGCGGGAGATGAGCTCACGCCGGCCGGGCTGGGCTGGCTGGGGGCCAGGCTGGGCGAGTTCTCGGCGCCAGGGGCCCCCACTCCCCAACTCCATAGGGTCTGCGGGGTAGGGGGCAGGGAGGCCCCGATCCCAGAGAGTCTGCCCACTTTTGCATCCTGGAACAACAGGTGGCGCGCCCTCCCCCACCTCACCTGAACCCCCAAGGCTCCCCATCTCTAGGAGTGCCTGATGCATACACCTCCTGTCCTCTCCGCCCCCAGGGGGCGCCCCTTCCTTAAAGCCTCTTATCTTAATTTCTCTCGCACGTGGGACCCCCGCAACTCAGGTCCTGCGGAAACACCCCCCCCCCCAGACACACACACAAAACCCCCTTCTCTGTTCCCTCTCCCTCTTAGCTCTTCGGATCAACTTTCTTCTCTCCAGTGCCCCACCTCACAGGCATTCCCATACGGAACCTTCCCACCCAAAGACACAGAAACTGATACGTCCCCCATGCGGCCCTGAGACTCTTGCTTGGTCCCTGGAGACTCCTTACTCAACGTCTCAGAATTCGAGTCCCCCTCCCAAAAGTTCTCAGGCCCCTCAATTCTGAGATCCCCATTTTGACTCAAAGCATGAAAGCTGGCGCCAATTCTCTCACGTGGGACATCACAGGCCCCTAAGAACCCTCATTGCTTGCAAAATTGGAGCCCTCAGGACCCAACCCCAAAAGCCAGGGGCCCCCTTCCTCAAATAGCCCCTGCGATTCCCTTGCACTGTTGCATATGGAATCTGGGCTCCCTCTCCCTGGAGGACTGTCTCCTCCATCCCCAGGGATCCTCCTCCCCCCGGGAGTCGCTCTCTTGGGACCACCACCCCGCACTCACAGGCGCGGAAGCCGGGTCCCCCCGGGGCCGCCCCG